GTCGAGCGCAGCCAGGGAACGCGAGTAACCAACAGCTGGCTGCTGTCCGATTAGAGATCGATCGAATCGACGACGACGACGACGACGAGGGCCGGAAAACTCGAGGCTCTGTTTGCGTAGAATCGTCGGCTACGAAGACGACGACGACGTCTTATCGTTGTAGAAGATCGTGACACGTGAACGAACAGAAGCAGTGCCGTGGGCAAACGATAAACCGCGAGTGATCATAGTACTCGAATTGCCAATGAGAAGCAGCGCTAGCTCGAACGAAGACAAGCCGAGACGACGGTAAGTTCGGGCCGTATCGTCGATAGGACGCGCGGAATCACGGTGAAGAAGACGAAAAGAAGAAAGGGTTGGCGAGAAGGAAACAAGTTGGTCCGATTCGGCGATAGTATTGGAGTCAAACGAGCGCGGAACCGTGGAACCGGGGAATCGTGGAACCGGGGAACCGTGGAACCGGGGAATCGTGGAACCGGGGAACCGTGGAACTAGCGGAGATCTCCCTGGCGCGCGATACGCACAGTGGCCGTACGTCGTGAGTCGTGCGTCGCGAGTCGCTCGACGACTGGGTCGAGCGATCGGTAATCGGAAGAATAGTCGCGATTAACGAGGACGCGAGTGTGTCGAACAGCGATACGCGCGCTGCTTCTCGCGCGGTGAATTTCGACGCTGAACGAATCGAAACGATCGTCTATCCTTATTGCCGAGATTCTGTGTTTAGTGATAAAACGCGTATTCGCAGTGTGCCGCGTACACGATACGCAACGATCAACGACGACCACGACGACCACGACGATCACGACCACGATCCCGGCCTCGTTTCGCGTAGTACTACGGTGGAGTGTGTGTGCGTGCCTCTATGGGTGAGCGTGTATGTGTGAAACGCGGCTGAAGGAATCGACAAATAGTCGCACTGCAAGACGGAAGGTCGCGTTGCTTCGCGCGTATACTTGGGAGAATTCCAACTGGATAAATTCGTCGTACATTCGTGAAAAGGGTAAATTATGCACGCCGGAAGCGGCTGAAAAATACCGGAAAAAGACGTTAGACACCAACGAACGAACAAACGTCGTATGGACGGTAGTTTCGCGCGAACGACGATGGTCGTCTCATCGAGCGGGCGGTCGTTCGATAACTAGCAGAATGCTACGGAAGCAAAGTTGCTGGGAAATTACACGGGCGCGACGCGTCTTTGTCGTAGTTTAGCTCGGTTTCCACGTTATTCGGCGAACTGTCGTGTGAAAAAAAAAAAAAAGGGAAAGAGCAGGAAGGAAGGAATCGAGGAAAACGGCGAAAATAAGAGAAGCCAAATATCGGTGTAGTTCGCACAGCTTCCGGGCTTCGTGGGTGTTTTTACGCGTACGCCGTGGATCGATAGTTGTCTCGCGAGCTCTGGTCGACGGGTGGTCGACGACGTCCGTGCCGACAGCCAACGACTCGATTTATCTCGAATCACAGGGCGAATTTTCGAAAGCGAATCGGCAAACACAGATTCTAAAAGAATCCGTATTGTTCGACAGGGGGATCCAAAAGGAGTTGGTCGGCGAAAGGGACCTCGATACGATCGACAGGATACTCGTGGATCTTGGAACCCTGGCGATTTATGGGGGACTTTAGCGCGACCAGCCTCTTCTCCAATAGTTTGTCCAGCACGACGAAATCTTCGATCGGTAGCAATACCGCGAGTCCCGGTGTAACCGTAACGACATCAACGATGCAGGACGATCTGTTGATCGAGAAACAAGCCAGTGGCAAAGCAGCGCCGCTATCGCCCAGTACTGGCCTGGAGGCCGTCGCTGGACTAGAAAAGGCGAAAGACGCGGTCGAGGTCGAGAGTATCGCTATCACGCCGACGACGCCCTCCTCTACAGAGAAAGAGATCGCCTGTAGCACCAGCTCGGCGCTTCAGAGTTTCTCCGAAGCGGCCAGAGTGCCGAGCTTGTGGTCATCCGCTCCGGACGACACCGGTCTTCACGCGTTACCGGTCAACGGATCCATCGCAGCGTTTCAGAACTTTCCGACCGGTGGTCCGACCGGGTTGTTCGCTGGTACCGGTCCAACCGTTTCGGCTGGTACGCGTCGCGCTATCA